CCTTAAGAAATTGACCAATCACGGTCAAGTATGAGTCAGATTAGCCGCGATGAGCGACGAGCGACGCGCGATTATCCAATGAGCGTACAGGTTTTATCGGAAAGCGTACAGTTTTCCTATAAAGACTGCACGCCCATTTTATTTTTTTAAAATGACCTTGTGCTGTGATTGGTCAAATCTGAAATTCCATGGCACCACATTGAAATTTTATTCAATGAATTGCCAGATTTGACCAATCATAACACAGGATCACTTTAATCTGGATCATTTTGATTTTCTCGCGAAAGCAGCTATTATGTTCAAGACCGTCGAGATTGGTCGAGGCATCTTGCGAATTGCGATACGGAACTACTCGGGTCACTTCCGGAAATCATGGTCTTCGGAACGTCAAACCATCAGCGTGGTTGTTGACATCTGTTTGAAACAAATACTCTCTACCGAGCGTTGGTTTTCGCGTCAAGGGTGAAACGGAGTCCAAGTCAATAACATTCGGACGCGAATACGGGTGGATCTGACCGATAAGATGTCCCGTAAGTAAAGCAGCATTGTCGTGAACAATATGCCCACGCAGGAATAATTTGTAATCGAGAGACGCGAGCAGGGATCAGTTCGATCGAATAAAATCTTGCAGTATTTTTACATCCTCACCCTGCGATAAATGCGTCGCTGATCTAAACTATTTATTAAACAACTCCCGAAAGTACAATATTTAACGCGACAAAATCTTCCCGTTTTGTTCCATCATGTCTTTTGATCGCAGATCTTTTGACAGAACTGCCTGCGCTCGGAGCACGAAGTTTTGGGGTTATTACATACGTTGCGCCAACTCCTAACATTTATTCTCGTAATATGATTCTATTTGCAACGAATTCGCGTGCCGATTTGAATCAATCAACTTCAGCTTATAGCCAAGAAGCGGACTTGGTTTACAAAAGGTTCTTCACTCACTCGTACCTGCACTCGTGCATTCTTCCTCGCTACATTAATATACATATCATTCCTTACTTGCTATGGCCGGTGCTATTACATTTCCTGATTTGCGACGTGCCGCTTCAAATCAGAACTCGACGCCTCTCGCTATCTCTACCTCGCCTGTGCTTTCATTTCGCCTACTTTTATCTACTCCATTTTATTCCTGCTACTGTGGATCTCTTTATCGCCAGACGACACGCTGGTAGAAGACGTCTGCAAGCCTACGTACGAAGGATACTTCGAAGGCCACAGCAACGATGTTACAGCGCTGAGCTTCGATCCGACTTCCGATCAATTCATATCGAGTAGCCTAGACAAGACGATAATGGTGTGGAAGTTGGACCACAGGAGGTCGGCTTACAAGTTCTTTGGGCACACAGATGGTGTCTTGGACGTCTGCTATTCGCCAAGCGGACGCCTCGTGGCCAGCGCTTCGAGAGACACATTCGTGAGAATTTGGGTTCCTAAAATTAAAGGGGCCTCAATAAAGTTTAAAGCTCACAGCTCCGCCGTAACATCGGTGCAGTTCAATCCGAATGCAGAAGAGGTAATCATGTTTAATTACAGCCGACCTGCCACAGATCCCGTCGCTACTTACGGTAATTGTCGATATCTTTAGTTGGTCACTGCGTCGAACGACAAAACTGTAAAGTTGTGGTCGGTGAGCAAGAGATTCCTCAAGTCGTTCAGCGGACATACGAGTTGGGTGAACTGCGCCAGGTTTTCTCCCACTGGTAGACTCTTGGTGTCGTGTGGCGATGACAAAATGGTGAAAGTCTGGGACGTCGCCAGCGGAAAGTGTGTCAAAACGTTCACCGAGATAAATGGTTCGTTGAGCGCGTTGCAATTTTTATACCTTAGATCTCTAGAATCAAGTTCTGCTACGTTCCAGCTCTCGTTAGATGCGTGGACTTTCATCCGAACAGCCCGACCGTCGGATCGGCGAGCGAGGACGGGTGCGTCAAGTTGTACGACCTGAGAATGGACTCTTTATGCCAGCTCTACAACGCTCACAAAGGGCCTGTGAATATGATCAAGTTCCATCCAAGGGGTAATTTCATGTTGACGGCTTCGAGCGACTCGACGATGAAGGTAGCTTGAGACTTCGATTCCATATAGCGGCTTCAATAAGGCGTTACCGCATCTGCTGACGGCGATATCCGTTTAGATCTTAGACATCCTGGAAGGCCGCCCAATTTACAATCTCAGGGGACATCGTAATAGATGCAGCGTAACGTCCATAGCATTCTCCACAAACGGCAAGCTCTTCGCTTCTGGTGGCACGGACCGACAAGTTCTAATATGGAAGTCCAACGTGTGTGTGGATGGCAAAATCGGAAGAGTTCCCACGCAGTTAATGCCTTCCGTGCGAGAGCCTCACGGAAGGGGTGAAAGGTCGAACAGCGACGAAGAAGACGTAGTCGGGAAACGGGATCGAAAGAAAGTAATTATTTAATATGGAAATACATTTCCATGTAGTTATATCATTCATTACAAAAGAAACAAGCTAGATTTTATCAGGAACTGTTAATCTTATAAGATCATATCATTTCAGTATTTATCGGACACGTTAGAAACATTAGATCTAAAATCGGATAAGAGTCGTAAAGAATCGCCAAAGAAAGAGACCAGGTCTGAAATGGTCGACACGAGGAACGTTGAATTTTCCGAGGGGGCTTGTGCAACGAACGTGCCAATCCCACGGGATCAGGCATCGCCCGAGGCACCTTCGTCCTATCAGTCCGTTAAAACAGTAGAAGCACTCTGTGATAAAATACAGTCATTACATCGCACTGTTACAGTGTTGGAACGACGCTTGACAATTTTGGAAGAGGCGTTTAATATGTTTACTACAAGCTTTCTCAGCTGTGAGAAATGACTGAAAAGATCCCGAATCGATATCAAATCAACTCTGATATCGATTCAAAGATATCTTTTCTCCAATCATTTCTCACTGAATGTTAGGCTTACGATTGGTAATCGCTTGAAATAACTTGTATATATGTATATGTACAATATTGATGACTCGTTGTTAATCTGAACAACAGATTTTTAATTATTTTGTAACGTATATTATAAGGACTGTAAATATGCTAACAACTCGTATTCCAACACCTTACAGGCATGAAAGACGTGCTGCGTTATGACAAGAGACCCGTATGCAACTGCTTAGGACAATAGAAAATATGTTATTGCATGCTATTTTTGTACTTTTTGTATATATACGAATAAGTAATTTAAAATGTGACCTTTTTTCATATCATGGAAAAGGTACAATGTAAAAATGTCTCCGCAACATATGCTGGTACTGCGAAAACTTGCTAACAAATCGTGCACCAACGCCTTGTACAGACAGAAAAGACACGTTGCGTTGTGACAAGTGCAAGAGACTTGTACGCAACTGCTTAGGATAATAGAAAATATGTTATTGCATGCTATTTTTGTACTTTTTGTATATACTCGTATACGAATAAATAATTTAAAATGTGACCTTTTTTCATATCTTAGAAAAGATACAATGTAAAAGTGTATTCGCAACATACGCTCGTACTGCGAAAACTTGCTAACAAATCGTGCACCAACGCCTTGTACAGACAGAAAAAGACACGTTGCGTTGTGACAAGTGCAAGAGACTCGTGCGCAACTGCGTGGAGCAATAGAAAATGTTTTATTACATGCTACTTTTGTACTTTTTGTATGTACACGAATGAGTGATTTAAGATACGACTTTCTTTTTTATAGAAAAGATACAGTGTAAAAAATTCTCTGTAATATACGCTCGTACATATTTAGCAGCACCTGTTGCAATCACATTACTCTTCGAACCGCTTCTGCTCCTCAGTGGGTCCCCAAAAACTGGCAAGTTTTCCCCGTTTTCTTGAGCGTTGCCAGGATCTCATCCGAGCTGAGCGCAGTAGTCACAAGTACCTTCTTTTCTGGCAGATTTATCTCGACGTCGTCGATGCCTACGACAAACAAATACATTAGAAATACTGCGTACATAGGTGGCAACATACATGTATCGTTTCTTTTTGTACTGAAGTTACAATTGTATCATTTCTCTGCTCGACACCTCCGCTTCCATGCGCAACGTTTAACCTCACCTCCCACCCGTCTCGTTAATCTTTGCGGGGGCAACGTCTGCGAGACGTTGGTGTCGACGAGACGACAATCGCGAAACGCGAGCGTGCGTACCGTAAACACTTTCGCACCCCCGCGACATCGAAAGGCTGTCAAGTACCTGTTTTCTTCCCGAGCACGTTTCGCACGGCATTCGAGCATCCGTCGCACGTCATCTCGACGCTGAACTCGTGGACCTGGCGGACAGATCGTTGGGTCAATCATCCGAACGTTCGTCCGAGACGAGAATAATAATCGTTCTGCCGTTACCTGAGCTGCCATAATTGCGATACGCCACCGGGAGTCGACGCGTCGAACGGGCTACCGCGAGAGCAGGTGACGAAGTGGCAATAGTGGGATCGCTTGAAAATGTGCAATGTACGACTGAAGTCTTATCTGCAGCTGCACCGCGAACGATAACGTGTATCGTGCGCGTTGACCGTTTCTGATTGGAAAGCAACTATATTTGCCGAGACGGGCCGATTTTCACGCCCGATAAAAACAATCTCGAGAGAATCGCGTTTCACCAGCCGGCGCCTGGTGACTTCTTGACGCGCTATTATTGCTAAAATCCACGTTCGATTGTATCGAGACCGTCTACTAGATTGTACTTTCGCCAGCAACGATCCAAGTTTCAGGATTTAATTTATCTTGCACTTGTATTCGGCTCTTGATTGCAAAGAGAAATAATTTAGAAATCAAGTTCTTCCAATTTTTACAAGTTCGCGCGAACATTCCTGCGAGTTCACTTCGATAAACGTGAATATATTCCTGCGAGGATTAAATAATCCACGATTGTATCTTTCGTTAAAAAATTCTCATCTTCCTAGCAATTTAATCGAACAAGCGGTATAAATAGAATCTTTTGTTAAATACTTGTCGATTGAGGGTGTGAGAGAGAGAGAGAGAGAGAGAGAGAGAGAGAGAGAGAGAGAGAGAGAGAGAGAGAGAGAGAGGACGCTCTCGGGGGATTCAGTTTTTATTTGCATCCTTGCATCTTGACATAAGGTAGAAAAGTATTACGGTTGATGCCTAGTAGTTGCCCTCTGCACACCCCAGAACTGCCCTTTCGACTGCGCGAGGAACGAGCTTGCATCCTACCTACGGCACGATTTGTTTTTGCAAGCGTCTCGACTAAAGGACGAACTCGCGATACGGATTTTTGTCCAGATCGACTACAATTTTCCTACAGCTTTTTCTCCCGCGTCCCGGGGCGATGGTGAATTCTATCCCTACGACTTTTCGATGGCGAGCAGCGGGCGAAATGTACAAATGCATCATCGAAATATGTCCCTGTCGCGCTGTCCCTACGGTCGTTCTCTCGCGAGAACGTGGACTGGCACGGACGGCGACGGGGTCGGATGCCTTGTGCGAGTGAGAGGACCTTATCACAGTAATCAGTTCGGCTCGTACCGAGAATACCTGCCTCTGCTAGTCTCACTAATCGGACACTCCGTCGGTCGTCGCTCTCTGTCACACCACTCATTCCATACACTTGTCTAAAGTCTAATCTGTTGCACACTCGGTCATATTGCTCTACGATGTTAGCGATAATCCTTAGTCGTTAGACAGTTCGTTAATACACCTGTCGAACACGGCTCTTGCTATTATCTGCAGAGATAACATGACGGGGAGCATATACTTACTGTAGTCGACGCTTTCCGTTCATCCCGTATGATAGCACAGCTGTAGCCTCCTTCCTCTTCCTTGCTGACAAACGGGAAAATTTATATACTGAGCTTCACGCCGACGAGAGGGACCGGGGTAATTTATAAATATCGCAGCTTTTTCGTTTTACGCTTAGGACATGTCTGTTACATTTATTCGCCCAAACGAAGCATCGGGATTACTGACAATGCGGCCGAAATGCAATTTCTGTATGACAAATTGTATCGCGTACGCAAGCGGGGGCTTAATAGTACTTTAGCTTTAGCTTTGGCGCGTTTGTCGATCTGCTCGGGGAGGACCCGAAGACGCACACGGGGATCGCAATATACTGGCAGTTCGCAATTTCGGAGACTATCATTCCCCAATGACATACATATGTTTTTACAATTGTTACGTGTATTAATTAAGCGGCGTAACGAGACTCGGGATCTTCCATTAAAATATATCCGGTCTCTCAGTAAAAATATATATGAGCGGGGCCGTCAGTTCGGTCTTGGTGAAAAGACGAGCCAGAGATACATGCGAACCTGGGAAAGGGAGTTCCATGGAATGCTACGGCATCGTCAGGAGTCGGGGAATAATTTGAGCACGACAGTTACGAAATGACCGTTGTTAACTGAGACTCGTTTTGACGGTAATCTATTCTATTTCTTATCATTCGATGTAAATGCGATGCAAACACATTGCTGACAAATCATAAAAGTATAATGTCGAATGCTGAACGCAAGAGTCAACGATTGGAAGATAAGTTATTCCAGAAAGAAAAATGCAATTCTTTTGTACTAGTAAAGAGACGCGCTTTGTCGCAAACACGGTAGTTTATGGCGTGACGCAATTCTGGAGATAAAAACCGCGATTACTTCGTTCATATATCGTTCGCATTCAGTCCGTCGGACTGACTAGATTGTAGCCTGATGGCGGATTGGCGTGAATCCAGCGTCAGAGAAAGCTGTAAGTGTTCTGAACCGCTCTGCGTTCCCCAGTGGACGAAGCCTGCTGTTCCGCAATAATTCTCTGCTGCTCTCTCTCTAGTCTCTCCAACGATTCCACGCGCGTTCTTATAGAACCACCATAAGTGCGTACCTATTTTATTAACATCTCATTAAGTACCGGTATATATTCTTAATCTTGCTATCTTATCAGAAGTTTCCCTTAAAGTTTCTGGATTTTAGAGATAACAAAATATACACATATCAGAAAAAGGCTTGTCAATATTTCAAGGAGTGAAACTGACAGTGAATTCAGTTGCTTGCACTAGTGTGCACTGAGACCTGTTTACAGACAATTCTTATATTCAAGAATCGTCTTAAATACTTTTTCAATACATCTTAGTCAGTAAACTGACCTGTACAGTATCCGTACAGATCATTTTTTGGCTAAATAGTTTTTGAACATATTTTTAAGATGACCCTAAATATAAAGGCCTGTGTCCACGATGCTAGAACTTGCGGCTTTTATGGAATACCTCCAAGTTGATTGGCTACAGATTTCTCGAAACTAGAACTTGGACCAAGTTCTAACAACGTGGACACAGGCCTTGAGAATTGACTCTGAACAAACTTGGTGTGCACTCAGTGCGTACTAGTGCAGGCAACTGAATTCGCAGTAAGTTACGGTATAGGAGAAAATGAAGTTGGATCTAGCAGATTTACCTTACTGGTGCTGCGAAGAATATTCGTGTTAAAGTACAGAATGACTTTTTGAGCAAGTACATATTTAATTTTGCGATAACTAAAAAATTACATAATTTTTAACGACAATAGACTTGGACGGTCTTATAGATAATAGAAATATTGACGAGAATTTTTCTAACATTTTTTCGGAAATATAAGCAAACAGGATATTTCCGTCCAGAATATTAATGCTATTCCATTCATTTAAAAATGCTGTTTTTCTTATATCTTTCCGATATGAATGCTGCAAATGATTTAATTTTAAAATTATCAGAGTGTCAATTGGATATGATTTCTGGACGCTCCTATATTGCTTGTGGCAAGGTTGAAATATAAATCTCTTACAATATAATAAAGCACACCAGAAATTTCAAGAAAAAGCTTTCACTAAAAGCGAGCTCCTTGTCCCACGGTCATGTTTTTCTGAATACTGTATTTTTCACGCGTTTATATCGTTTTACACTTTTCACAAAAATTTCATCACTTGGCGATAATTTTGCATATTTAAGCGAATGATATACAAGTTGAATCAAATCATAATTTATCGAATAAATAAACAAATACAAAATATAAGAGTGTATTGTGTAACATAACGTACCTTGGGTGAGAAAATTAGAAAAAATATGAACACAAGGAATTTTTAACAACGCACTAATTGTCCCCTTTTTTTTGGTGTATATTTTTTGAACATATCATATTAAATAAATTATAACAAATATCGGATTCTGTGGTAAAAAGAATACATAAATAAGTTGCATTGCATTTAACTTTGTATATCAATCTATACAAATTTCCATCGAGTTTCCAGCGAGTTTGCACAAATGCAGATGCCGATTCAATCTGTCCTGTATCATCGACCATACGATAAATATGGGCGCTTTAGCTGGTTATCTACTCACTGTCTGTAGATTAGACTTCAGACTGTGGGTGTTGGCCACTCGCGCTCACACAAGAGGAGTTAGACTTCCACTGCAGACTCTTACTTCTCTGGGCTCCAGAGCTGCCGGAGGTCTCCTCTCTTGCGACTGATGCACATTCGAGCCACTCGCCACGTTATGGTGCCCCGATCGCGGTGGGTGGTTCGTCGCCACTACATACTCTGTTAAAGTAACATCCGCAGTCCCGCCAGATTCGAGTGGTATCGCATTCTGGCGAAAGTGTTCAAGCATATCGTATATCGCAGGAAAGCACAGATGCTGGACTCGGCAATGACCTTGATCATTTAACGTCATCCGTAAATGCTGCAACGAAAAATTACACGTGTGTAAAAATGACGGGGGAAAAGAAAGCTGTTGGAACGTCATTCCGTCGTTAAGCGTTAAAGATGGTGTCAGTAGTTACTTTTGCTCTTCCTTGGAAATTAAAAGTTAACACGAATTCGCCTTTTCTAGTCTCGCTCTGCCGGACCAGGAACACACCGTGACCGTTAGCTGCACTGTGTAATACGAGCTGCGCGGCGTCCGAGCGAGGAAGGGTGCCATGGAACCATGGGTAGTCTCGTAAGCTACTCGATAAATCCAGCTCGCCCTCGTTAGCAGGCACTGCGGGCAGACGCAAACGTGTAATTAGTAATTTATCCGCCGAGTTATACTTGCCTTACTTTGCTCCCTTACTTTGCTCGATTTCTTGCTGAGAGGAACATAATTCTAGATTACTACTGCTGCGCATATGTAGTCTTGGAGGTAATTCCGGCGGGTTGCCCTGCGAGTCGTCGCCGTGTTCGTGACTAGCGGACCGGAAGCTCTTACTCGCCGAGTTGGCTCGTAATCGATCGCTGTCGGATCCCATAGCCAGTGAGCCGTGGCCCAGGGAATCCCCTAAGGAGTCGCCCGGCCCGGAGCCAGGCGCGCTGGAGCTCTGCTGCACCGTTCGCATGCAATACCTGATCGTCGCCAGCCACGACTTCATGTCGTTCGAGTCGTGCGCCTCGATGACAAACTCCATGGTCTGGGTCTTCAGGACGAACGTGTTCTCGTGATCCGGCATCTCGAGCGCCGTGGTTTCCCTCGCCTCCGTTATCGCCGAGCAGAAGACGCCGCTTCGTGGTTTCACAGCCTTCGGCGGAGAGTAGAACTCCAGCATGTAGCCACCGATGGCCTTTATCAACGCTAGCCGCGACTTCTCCCACTTCTGCGTCCCGTCTATGTTCTCCCCCATCAGGGAATTGACGATCCCTTCCTTACGGCACTCCACCACGATCTTGGACAGCTTGGCCTTCGAGTGCTTGTCCTTGCGGTGCTCGCTGTGGGACAGCTCGACCTCGTCGCTCTGCTGCTTGTGGAAGAAACTCTTGCCCTTTTTAAGCCCCTTAAAGGATAATCTGCGGAAGAAGGGCTTGTGGGCGGGCTTCGGCGACACTGCCTCCCCCTCGTGCTCCGAGTAGTCGCTGAACTCCTCGTGCGAGGACGCGCGGACCGGTGCGTTGACATTCTGGCTCGCAAGATTCACGTCTCTCTCATTGGATATTACGCTCCTAGTGTCGTGCAACGATAGCGATCTAAAAGGAATATGTGTACAGTATATTATACAATGTTACTACATATGCGAATAATCTAAAAACCCAACTTCCATTATTTGAAAATTTATAAAACGTACATTCTTCTAACACATCCGCTCGTGTGAAATGTATAACAAACGCGAGTGTCCTGTCAACTCCAACTTATTTTTTATCAATTTTACTGCCTCGGCCGACCGCGACCCTCCAACGTTTACCAATCAGGCAATTACTTCCCGATGTGCAAAGGTTTCTTCAATACTTTAGACCGGTATTTGTAATCGGATCTTATATTCAAGACCGTCTTGAATTCATCTAAAGATGCCGTACGCAACATTTCATCGGCTACGTAGTATCTAACTTGTCAACAACCTCAAGGGTTATTTGACACCGGTGTAAAAATTCTTTATTCGCGTGCTTAACCTTTTTGGTCAAACGCTGAGTCCAGCACTCGCGCTTCAAAGTCGCTTAAACGCCGAATCTTACGCTCTCCCCAGGAAAGTACGCGAGGGCCGAGGGCCGAGATCGAACCGAGGGCCCTACCGTACCGATCACTCGTGTTCGCGCAGAGCTACACGTTATATCCCGGCCGACGTAAACGCGGGGCGCACGCACCTCACGCTCTGACGCAGGTACTCGCTCTCGAAGTGCTCGCAGAAGCTCTCGACGAACTTGCGGAGGAAGTCGCGATGCGACAGATTGGCGCGGGCGCTCTCGGGCAGGTTCAGGCTGACGTAGGCGCAGAACGCCTTGGCGAAGTCGGAGGCTGAGGCGCGGGCGTGTCTCTCGCAGAACTCGATCCAGCCGGTCGCTACTTCCGGCGACGCGGCGGTCGCCGTGGACGATGTGGCCGTAACCGGTGCCGTCGCCGCAGTCGTCGTCGTCGTCGACGTCGCCGTTGTCGCCGCTGCTGCCGCCACCGCCACCGCCGTCGTCGTTGTCGTGGTCGTCGTCGTTGCCGACGTTGACGTAATCTCCGTCGTCGTTGTCGTCGTCGCCGGCGTCGGCGTCGGCGTCGGCGGCGTCGGCGTCGGCGTCGTCGTCGTCGTCGTTGTCGGCGACGTCGTCGTCGGCTTCGTCGCCGTCGATGCCGTCGTTGCCGTCGCGTTAATCGCCGGCGATTCCGCGCTGCTCGCTGTCGGCGTGCTCGCGGCGTAAACACTCATTACCGGCGTCTGGCTCGCGTAGGGGGCGGAAGACCTCCCCCCCCTGTGCCGCCGCCGCCGCCACCACCACCGCCGCCGTCGTCGCCACCCGTCGCCCTCCACTCTCGCCCCCCGCCGCCGCCGCCGCCGCCGCCGTCGTCGTCCCTTCGGGGTCCCCCTTCACGATCGCCAACGTCGCCAGCGTTGAGGGTGAACGCGCGCGCGAGCGTGCCCGGCGGACATATCACACGGCCCGGCTCTGCTCCGCTGTAAAACTAATCACGGCGGCCGCCGAATGGCCACGGTCGAATGACACACATGCACGCGCACGTACACGCGCGCGCGCGCACGCGGGGAAAAGATTGGGCGAAAACGAGGAGGGAAGAGACCGAGGCGCGAGTATATGCGAGGGAACGTCGATGCGATTCCGCGCGAGAGAATTGCCGAGTTCGGCTCGAATGACACCCGCGACGAGCTCGCTACATCACCGCGCCTTATAATCCTCCTCTTCGATTCATCGTAACGCTCCGCGATGGGGAGAGGGGGGGGGATGGGAAAGAGGAGCCGGGAGTCCGGTCGTCGGGGGAAAGTCTCACTGCTACGTTAACGTCACACGCGTCTACCCGCGACTCCGTCCGTCCGTCTGTCTCTCTCTCTTTCGTGACCCCCGTTGCCGGGCGGACGATGAATGATCATCGGCGACTTTTGTCGGGACCGCGCGCACGCCGCGATCTTATCGCGCGCGTGCCAAAGTCAAGGACCCGCACGCGTGACGCCCGCGCGCTCGCAGCACCGTCGTCCTCGCTTCGCGGAAATATTTGCGGGCATTACGAGGCACACGCGCGAAATGCGTGATACGCACGACTCGCCAGCACCACTGGCGCACTCTTCTCTCTCTCTCTCTCTCTCTCTCCCTCTCTCGTCGCGCGTAAAGGTTAGGCAGTCGCGTGGCCCGCTCTCTCGCACATAGAAATCCGCATTTACATCATCCCCGTCGGAATTGCGCGTGCACGTATTTGTGCGCGATTAGCCGTTTGCCGCAATTTATGAGTCGTCCTTTGTATTGTACACGCACCGGCATAAATGCTGTCCCTATCCTTGTGAGGTGCACGCACACAACTAGAGTCCCTGCAGTTGTGTGCGTGCACCTCACAAGGATAGGGCAGCATTTATGCCGGTGCGTGTACGCGTCGACTGATCCCTTTCCCGAGGTCGTGTCTCGATTTTAAACACAATTTCCGATTTTTCCGCTTAGACTTTGATTCCGGTCCTGAATGGGTGTTCGAGCAGAAAAGCCGAAAATTGCGTAAGATCGAGACGCGACCTCGCGAAAGGGATCAGTCGATGCCTGTGTCCAGCAGAAGTTTATAGCGCTTGCTAAGCGCTTTGCGTTCATTGAATTATACTTTCAGATCTGTGCTGAAATAGAGCTATTCTTCTAGATCTATCCAATCAGCATAAAGCGAATCGAGAAAACGTTGAAGAAATGCTAGAGGAGTTCGTTTTACATTTTCGTCACTCCCTTTCGAGAGATGGCGAATCTTTCTCTCTAGGGGTGCGTTCCGTTTCACGCATGATGCGCATGACGCATCATTTATCCTCATTTAACATCAGGGGCTCGATCACGAATCTTTTCCTGTAGCGCGAACTCGTGAAAAGCTAGAGAAAAAGGTTCCCTGGTAAATAATAAATAACAAGGATAAATGATGCATCATGCGCGAAACGGAACGCACCCAAGATGTGTTCTTTGTAACTGCACCGTATACGTAATTAGGCGCCGAAAGGAACAAAGACGGAAGATGTAAGTAATAGTTAAAGAGACGAGGACGAGGGACGTAAAGTGCAAAAGGCTCAGCCGCGAGGTGCAGATCCACGGTCTCTCCCGCGTACAAGTTAGAACCCTGGTGGACCCTTAACCTCATTAGAGCGGAGCGTAGGCGAAAATAAAGATCCGAGATGATCGAGTCCTGCACGAAGAGGCGAATGTTGTTGGGCATCACATTCTTAGGAGGGTTAGTCGCTCGTATATATTCCACGCCGAGTAACGGACTGGCAGAGAGCTCGAGCCGTTGAGCAAAGCTTGCGGACCGACTCAATTTCGCGCGTCTATTGCCCGCAGATTGACGGTTCTAGCGCTAATTATCGAGAGCCACTGGACCAACAGCTCGAGCAAGCTTTACGTGGACAACTACGAGAACAATTCATCCTGCATCTCCGGCGAGGAGTACGAGGTGATATCCGAGTGCCATCCGTGCACGGCCTTTGAAATCGCCAGCGAGAGCATCGGCGTCTGCGTCCACGCGAGGTACAAGGAGGTGCTCAAGTGCAAGAGCGGTGAAACGATAACGAGAAGGTGAGAGTACACACGTACACGGGACGTGTTATCAGGTGGTCAATTCTGTATCTTGCATTACAGTGAAAATGCTAAAAGCCAGTAGCTTTGTCCCTTTCTAATCGTCCTCTTAAGCCCAATGTCCACGATGCTAGAACTTGGACCAAGTTCTAGCATCGTGAACATTGGCCTTTAGAAAGAGACGAAGCCACTCACTTTTAACATTTGCACTATTTTGCAAGATACAGAATTCACTTATTGCTTGGTTCTACTTACCTGGGGCTCTATTCTGTACTCGGCTACCGACAACTATCGATAACGACGTTTGCGCAGCTTTTTTACACGACAAGCTATGCGAACGTCGTTAATGACATCGATAGGTGTCGGTAATTGTGTACGCAATAGAGCCCCTGGTACACTTAGTTCTCACACATTCGTGTTGCAGTTGCGACAAGGTGGCTTGGCTGGAGGAACGGGCGTTCTGGAAGTTCGAGGGCTTCATGCTCGCCGCGGCGATCGTCTCTTGCTTCACCGTGTACTGGAGAGAGAACATACTGCGACAGAGAATAATCAGGAAGGTGGCGAGACAGTTGCGAATTAGCGTGTGAACGTTGCCAGAGCTGGACGCAGGTGCTTTACACTTTCGCCGCTCGTTCGAGAGAGAACAATGAGCGAGGTGTACCTGGCGGTATATTCCACGGCGGACTTGTGTCTCGCTCCGATCGAAACGATAGTGACCCTCTTTACTATAAAGTACTGTGAATCCACGATAGGCATCAAGCTGATACCGAGTAAGCAGGATTTAACCGAGCGAGCGTACGCGATAGATCTCACGAATTTTGTCTACGAAATTGTCAACATAAGCGAAGTACCTTGTTACGCGAACTCGTGCGAGCTACCGAACGTCACTGTGAACGCGGACAGCTGCATGGCTGGTTTGTGTACAGTATTGCGGCAGATTGTAAAGAGCGCGAGTTCCGAGTATACGATGCACGACGCTAGTAAGTTGTTGGGCTTCAAGGGCTCCTGCTTGATGGCTTGTTCCGAGGCGAGCGTGTGGACGAAATTTTGCGAGGTCGACTTAATTTTAACTCTCAAGTCTCTGGACACGAGGGATCCAGAGAGATCCGAACTGCCCGTCAGCTTAGCCAGATTCGAGTGCCACATGTCTCAGCCGGTTAGGCTGCACAATTTATACAAGTATACGATGTGCAAGAAGTTTGCTGCGCTTGATATAACTAGGCGGGACAAGACCGGCCTGCCGGAACACGCGTACGCCGAAGGCGCGTGTATTACGTTGTCCGACATAATTATATTCGTCTGCATGCACATTCTGCTGAATACGTTTTCGAGCCAGATGATATCGAAACTGGTGCCCTTGACGGCCAAGTGGTACGATAGAATGTTGGCGGATCGATTCATAATAAAATGTCTAGAATGTCTGCCTGTATCAAGGAGTCGTGATTCAGACGCGCTCCAGTATACACTCCCGGTCGTAGTGAACGAGAGTTTATACAAGAGCGATCCTAAACGGTACAAGCCAAGAAACCGCATTTACACGAGACAAGAGGATATAGAACACTCGTTGCAGTTGGTCGAAGGCATGCAGATCTTGATGCAGCTCGACGCAGAGCCATTCGGCGTGGAAGTGAACCTCGACTGGTCCGACGTGCCCTTCGACGCCACGCCGGAAGGTGGTTCGTTGCCGCTCGCGAGGCTGCGGCGAAAGCAGGAGCAGCTGCAGAATCTGTGCAAACCCGTCCTGAAATTGGCGAAGGCGGGTGACACTATTGTGGATTTCTGTTCGGGTAGCGGCCATTTAGGAATATTGATAGCGTACTTGTTGCCCCGCTGCACGGTCATTCTGCTGGAGAACAAAGAGGAGTCGTTGAACAGGGCTAAGACGAGGGTGCAGAGGATGAAGCTGACGAACGTGAGGTTTTGCCAGTGTAACTTGGATTACTTTAAGGGGGACTTCGACATCGGCACGTCGTTGCACGCCTGCGGTTTGGCGACGGACCTGGTGATTCAACGTTGCATACGAAAAAACGCGATTTTCGTGAGCTGCCCTTGCTGTTACGGCTCGCTGCAGGACTGCCATCGGCTGACGTATCCGCGAAGCGATGTTTTTAAGACGCGCGTTAGCAATAAAGAATACTCATACCTGAGTCACGCGGCGGACCAGACGCATGACGAACTCAACATTAAGACTAAACAAGGCTACAGATGTATGACAATTATAGATACGGACAGGAAACTGTTCGCCGAACAATTTGGGTACAAGGTTTATCTCGCTAAATTAATTCCAGAAACGTGTACACTTAAGAATCACTTGTTGATTGGTATACCAAAAGGTAAACTAACACGTGGCAATTCATGTGACAATTAAAATTGCATCTGCCGAATGATTTCTGGAAATAAGTGGCATTTGATTGTGAGAATATTGTTTAATTTGATCGATAGCAATATACAAACTTTATTATATGTAGTAAAATATTTATTATATACGTATACATGTATATAACATTTATTTATTTTACAAGTTGTGTATCTTTAATAAAAATGGGAAAGAAAAACAAGGGTGTCTACTCATTTCTCGGAAAAAAAAATTCTCCGGGAATTCCTCAATCAAAACTCTTTTTTTTCGAGTTGTCCAAGACGCCCGTCACGGATTGAGGGAGGTCCCGGGTTCGGAACTTTGCTGAGGTAATATTTTTCGCAATAAGAATAATTTACAGTACGGAGAAGGGGGTATTGAATGCTAAATGTAGTATCGAAAAATGCTAAAGTGTAGCATTTTAAATATTATCACAGACATACCAAATCAATCTATCGACTGTGTCGATAAGTATATGTGTCTCCGTAGTAGAACTTTGTCCAAGTTCTAGTTTCGAGAAATGTGTAGCCAATCAATTTGCAGCTTTTATGAAATAGCTGCAAGTTGATTGGCTACAGATCTCTCAAACCCAATGTTCACGATGCTAGAACTTGGACCAAGTTCTAGCATCGTGGACACAGGCCGTTACATCCACTATTGGTAGCGAAAATCGGTTCCAAGTAAACCTTCCCTACGTCGTGGCCGCTCTCAGGCTTCTCTCTGCTATAGGTCTGTTCAGGTCTGTTCTTTACAACTGAACTAGCTGCACTGGTTCAGAGTCTATCTTTTTCCTTCTAATGTGGAGGGAAAAAGATAGACTCTGAACTGGTGCAGGTAGTTCAGCTATGAGGAACAGACCTTTTACGTGAAAGTGGTGTTTGAAGCGTTTGAAGCATCGCAACTGTGCGTGACGCACGTGGTGTACGGAAGTTAATTTTCAATAATTGTTTTCCGATACTGCGATGTCCTTTTTTATAAGACGTGGTGCTCGCGGAGGTGGTGCACCGAAGCGTAAAGTAAGCTTTTTGATTTATCTTGGTCTCCTTTGCGAAAGTGTTGCGTTTTATTCTGTTTGGAGGTTAGGATTAAGTTCGTGCGAAATAGCACGATTTGTATATCTTACGATTCTTATTAAATGTTTGCATATGGTATACATCATTTGATAAAAGAATCGTTACAAAACAGCAAAATATTACATAATTTTAATACGTCTATGAAGCCACAATGTCACTCATAATTTTTTCTTGTTTTACGTGTCGATGACTTAACTTTGTAATTTATAATTTTATTATGTTAGCTCAATGGCAACTTTAGTAAGACATTCTCAGCGCAGTCTACTTCAAAGCAATCGAAAAGATCCAAGAAAAATAAACTCGATGACAATGAAAGTATTGCCAGTACGGATGAAGAACTCGCGGAAGAAAATTCAAGGTAACGATATTCAAATACATTGAAAGGACGTAATATTTAATTGAGCATTGTAAGATGTGCATATTGATTTTTTTTCTTTTAGAAATAAAGCACAAAGTGAAACCGAGGAAGAGGAGGAAACTGCACAGGAAAAACGTGTGAGAATCGCAAAGAAATATCTTCGGGAAATTGAGGAGGAAGGTACAGAATTAAATGAAATACTTTACATTTGATTTATACTCTTTTGACAAGGAAAAGATAAACTTATCTTCGACATTACAGAAAAAGACAGAGCAGAATTTGAAGCGGGTGCAGTCACACGGCGATTGCGCGAGGAATATTTGGAGGAGAAGGGTCGATTGAGGAAAACAATAGCAATAAATTACGTTGGTCACAATGAGTTTATAACGTTGAGATGTAAAGAACATAAATCGTCTATTACTTGTATTTGCCTCTCTAGCGATGGCAATATATTATATTCAGGATCCAAGGATGGTAGTTTAGTTAAATGTTGGTTCACGAATATTACAACTTTAGACAATAGATAAAATTCTAATAACACTTGACAATTATATATTTATTTTTTGTGAAATAAATTGATAAATCATCTGTAGGGTCGGTAACGGAAAAGAGCAAATTAAAAGCCATTGTAGGAAACAGAGGGAAGACAAAGTCTGGGATGAAATCTGTGCGGTGCTTGGCAATTAGCACAGATGGAAAGTTTCTTGTGAGTTTTAATGAAACTCTTTTTACTTCATAAAAAAAACTTTACATAAAAATGACTGTTTTTTCATCGCAGGTAGTAGGAGATGGTGGATGTAAAGATATAAAGGTGTTCTCTGGCGATACCCTTGATCACATAAAAGACCTGAAGGGCCATAGAAGTCCTGTATCTGGATTAATATTCCGTAAAGATACTCACACGTTATACTCTGCATCTGAAGACAGGAGCGTGAAAGTTTGGAATCTTGACGATATGGCTTATGTTGAATCTTTGTAAGTAACTCTGCAAATCCAATATCTTTTTACTGTGTGTATACACACTAGGGCCGGACCTTCGTGCGGTTTCTCGGTGCGCGCGCGGAGTACTGCTGCACTCTTCGATAAATGTTGCTATCTCACTTCAGCGAGCATCCGACTCACTCGCAGGCAGTAGTGCTTCACGTGTGCATCGAGAAACCGCACGAATGTCCGGGCCCTAATACACATACTGAGTTTACTTATTAAAAAAGATTGTTTCTGATTACGCCACTTCTCTTATAGATTCGGGCATCAGAGCGCTATCACATCTATCGATGCACTTTCACGAGAGCGCGCTATCACGAGCGGTGGTTACGACGGTTCTATTAGGATATGGAAAATAGTCGAAGAGTCGCAATTAATATTTAACGCGAAAAGCTCCGGCAATAGTATAGATGCGGTTAAGCTCATCAACGAGGAGAATTTTTTCAGTGGCGGTGACGACGGACAACTTTGCCTTTGGGGATGTATGAAGAAGAAGCCGCTGTGTACTATACTGGAAGCGCACGGAAAGGACGAAGCCAATAGTCAACCGATGTGGATTTCAAGTATCGCCACACTATTGAATACGGATTTAGTAGCATCAGGTACATTGTCGAATTGTATCTTTGTATCTGTATTTATATATGTTTCTTCTTTAATATTAATTAATCAATTACGATTTCTAGGATCGCGGAACGGCACGATCAAGTTATGGCAATGCGGTGAAAACTTTAGGTCTCTAAATTTACTGTTTGAAGTTAAATTAACGGGTTTCATAAACGCGCTTGCATTCACTCCCGATGGGAATCACCTTATTGCTGGTGTAGGTAAAGAACATAGAAATGGTAGTTGGTGGCAAATACCTGAAGCGAGGAATGCTGTTGTTATTATACCATTAGTGCATAAGCAAAAGACAAATAAATAAAGATTTTTTTAGAAATTAAAAATATGAGTTTAGGTAATTTTTGAAAATTCGTATAGATTTCTATCTGTGGAGACAATATTTATATAGAGGTTTATAAAACGCTTTACTTACCTATCACTTTCAATTGTATTCATAAAAACTTTATTTCAAATAAAATTAATTCGACAAAAATATTGATATAACTGCGTTAAATGAAGACAAGGCCGACTGTTGTCTCTATAATATCTACATTCTGAACGCGATGAGAAATCTGTTCACTCGACGACGATGGTTTTTATGTGAATGAAATGAAAGAAATATTGGTCCACAGTACAAGTATTTATTCTGTACAAAAGTTGAGTTATAAAATATTATGTCCCTATTTTAGGTCTTGTTTTAGTCTTGTATACCATGCCGTCTTGAGTACATTCGTATAATAACAATATCGCGCCGCGTGGAACGCTCGTGCCCGTCCCGGACGGTTCTCCGCGTTTTCCCCGCGGCATTTTAATCCGATCTCCGCGGCGAGTGACGTTTCTCGGGCGAGACAATTCCACGGCCTCCACGTCCGAACGGCCACCAGCGTTCCGTTCGCGCGAATCTTGGACTCACCGTGTACATATAAACCAAACCGACTTTAATCCGCATATTTATTCGAGTCAACAAACAGTAGTACAGCGAGTGTACGCTACTTCTTGTGCATTCTTGCGATAAGTTTTTCAAACGAGTGCGATATATAGGCCATCCTTAATTGGGGGCACACCACCCTTCGTGTCGTTTTTATTTCCTTTATTTTCAATGCTTCGCGCGCGCTCTGTCTCTCTCTCTCTCTCTCTCTCTTTCTCTATCCAGGCCGTGAGGGTGCTGCTCGGTGCGTTTTTTTTAAGGGTCCTCAAGCGACATCGTCTTCCGCAAAAATACGCTCGATTAAACCTCTCCCTGTTTCTCTCCAGGCCGGCATTAATTTCCGCGAGGCGGACTCGGCGCGGGGCTTGCTCGGCGGGTCCTGTTTTACTTCTCTTTCCCCTCCGCACGTTCGGAGTCTCTTTCAATCCTTTTTTTTCTTTTATTTTTTTTATTTCCTCGCAGTCTCATTTAATTGTTCGGCCTTTGACGCGGTTGATACGTGTGTAAATTGACGCGCTCCGCGACGGACGTAGCGCTTCTCTCTCTCTCTCTCTGCTCTTCTCGGGGTCTTCGCGTCCTCGCTGATTGCCAGTCTTTCCCTCGTAAATTCTCTCGCCTTGGAAACCAGCCAGATTTATCAAAGTATCAAAGAGTCGCCTTTAATCTAGGATCTAATAATAAATGAGCCTCGCGTTTGACAAAACCGCCTGAATCCAACGACGCTCTCTCCTTTCCGCGGGGAGCGGAGCGGAGCTGGGCGGGGGGGCGCTCGTTCGTTCCGTTGGTCTCTCGACCGATAAATCACCCGCTCTTCCGCTTATTCCTATCGCAACGAAATACGCTGCTCCCCTCCTAACAGACATCCGCGACCGATGGATATTGTTGCTTTATTGCACGACTGTTGAAAGCGATTCGTTTTATTGCTTGTCGGAGAAATATCTAAGCCCAACTCCGTTCGCTACAGAACCGTCGTCCGCGACGGAAGGATTCGCGGCGATCGCGGGGAGAGACGCGTCCTTGGTCCGCAATTGACGCTCGTTGCACAGATATGGATCGGTGTTATTCCGAGAGGACGTTACATCCCGCCTGCCTCCGCAACATTTTTTTTTCTCTTTGGGAAATTGTCAAATGCGTCGCAACGTAACTCCCTAATGCGTGGTCTACAATACGTGGAG